GAACCGTGCCCGTCCAGACGCAGAGAAGAAAGAAATGAAAACAATCACGTGAGTAGCAAAGTGGAGCCTAGCTCTCTGGGCTTCTCTGCCAGCCAGGAGCTTGCTTCTCTTCAGAATGGCATTCTCTGGTCCAGGGATGCTGTGGGGATGATCAGAGCCTGATGTGGTGGGACCCCATCTCAGAGACTAAGGGGGTGTTTCATAGTAAGGGGCTTGCCTGGGTGCCTTGAGGTGCAAGAGTGGACCAGGGTGTGTTGGCCTCCCAGGACCCCTGTGCTGTCTCCACCACAACCCCTTAACTGCCTCACATGTCCTTTGTAGGAGCTAGGTCTGGGGCAAACTTTGTGCCAGCATGTCCATTGTGAAAGAAGGCTTGTACCCAGCTCTGTGAACCCTGGTGTCTTCACTGCCCCCCCAGCTGTGGTGGCATTTGTGTGTCTTTCCCTTGTTGTGTTAAAGGTGGCTGAATGGCTCTGGGGGCAGATCCAGCTCATGGGGGAGAGCGGCCCAGTCCTTTCTGGGGGTTTTGTGAGTGCTGAAGCAGGTTCCTGCTTTCCAGTGGGTCTGCAGCTCCTCAGACCCCTGGCTGGCCTGGGCCAGCAGCTGGCTGGAGCCAGGAACGCTCCTGGGCCACCGTGCTGGCTGGCTGGCTCCCTCTTGTGAATGAAGCAGCCCAGAGCAAAGCTGGTGGAGGAGAGCAGTTACATGAACATTTCCCTCAGGCCTTGTACCCTAATGCAGATCCCAGCCCCTTGGTGTTCTTATTCTGTGCCTCCTGGCACAGCCCCTCCCCATAGACCCGTGACCTGGTTCTGCAGCCACAAACACCCCCAAACCTCTGAACCAGCCTGGCTTGCAGAGCATGTGCCCCACCAGAAGCCCCACAGCCACCCTGGGGCACCCCCGACCGGCGCCAGGGGCCATGCTGACCCTCTTCTGTATCCTTTCAGGGGGAAGACGTTTACCACCCGTTAACGCCAGGGTCGCTGGGGCTGCCGTGGAGGACAAAGGTTGCGGCACTTGCTACATGATAATCGTAGCTTTTAATGTTGCACCTCTGTGGGCTCATAAGGAATTCAAGCAATCGGGGTCTGTTTGTACGACACTTTGGGGAGTAATCTGCAGAAACGAGCTGTGCTTGCGAGGACTCGATCGTTCCAAGAAACAAAACCTTAATTACAGTTTGATTGACTTCATTTCTTTTCTTTTTTTTTTTTTAATTTTTTGTTTGTTTTTGTTTTTTTTTTTTCCTTTTCAAGCTGTTACGCTTTGCAATATGTTACCGGAAATGAATTGCAGTATTTCTTATGAGAATAATGCAATATTAACTTGTTTTCTTCTGAATATTTGAGTTCAAAACTCCTGTATCTGAAGAAATACTGTTGGGGTTCATTAATAAAGGAGATCTTTCTATCTTAAGGGGGTGTGGGGCTTTGGCTTGTCAATGCACGTGGCCTTGCCTTGGAAGGGGTGTTTGGAGTCACAGGCACAAGAGGGCTAATTACTGTATCCCACAGCAAATTACTTCTGGTGATCTCCATCTTGGGGTCTGTGCCCAGGTCTGAGTCAGTAGCCTGTTGTGTTAGGGAACTCCCAGGCTGCAGGATTCTGCACCCCTCCCTCCTATCCTGACCCGTTCATTCCCCCTAACAGGGAGAACTGGGCTGGGAGTCTCTGCCCCCACTAAGACCAGAGTAAAACTATCCAACATTGACCCTGAGGCCATGGCTGGATGCTGGGGAGATCCCTGAGGAGGGAGGGAGCTCAGGTCCTCTTACCCCCAACAAGCAGAGTGAATGGCATCCACTTACGTGAAATAATTTATATAATTATAAGACATCTTCATATAAAACCCCAGGCCCAGCCTCCAGCTAGAGGGGGCAGAGTGGGGCAAGCTGGAAAATTACAAAGCACACACTGGAGGAGGGTGATGAAACCCATCTCTCTCATCCTGCTGTACATGAACCACCTGGCAGAGCCAGGACACCATCCCTCAGCACAGTCCCTAGCGATCGGGGCGCTGGACGCAGAAGACTTTGGCTTGGTGGTCGCCGGAGGTCGTCACCACAATGGAGGCATCCCTGGAGGGAGACAGGGCTGAGATAAGGCTGGGGGTTTTGGGCATCCCTCACCAACATCCCTGGCCCAGATCTGATCTTCCCCCTTTCCCCTCAAGATCCTCAAGTCTTAGCACAGACCTAAGTCTGTCCCATCCCACCTTGAGACCAGACCCTAGGGGCACCCAAAGGAAAGACAGATTGTGATTCAAGTTCCTGAGGCTGGAGACCCCTGCCACCCCTGGTCCCTCCACCCCCTCAGGGAAGGGGCCCAGGGGTTCCCTGCTCACTTGTTGACGGCAAAGTCGAGGATTTCAGCCGCGTGCCCTCGGTACTCGCTGATCATCTTCCCCGAGCGGGCGTCCCAGAGCCGCACGGCCCCGTCCAGGCTACAGGTGTACACCACGGCCGAGCTCTCCTCCCACAGCAGCTGCACAATCCCTGACTGGAGCACAGGGAGGCCACTGGATGAGCACTGGGGACACACAGCAAGTCTCGGCTCCCCCCCCCACCTGCCCCCCCTCAGTGTTTGCCATCACCACAGATAAGACAGCCGGCCCCCAGGGCCAGGCTGCTGGGCTCTTTGTGCAGGGACTGCGGCTGCCTTTGGGGAAGCCCAAGGGGCTGAGGGAGAAGCACAAATTGGGAACCAGGAAAACCCCTAGGCTTCAGGAGGTCTCAGCTTGGCCCAGAGACATCCCTGCCCCCCCCTAGACCTGGATAGAGGGGATATGGCAATACCTCGTGTTGGCACTTATGCCTCAAGGTCTGCGTGGAGAGGTCATAGATAGCCAGCGTGCCATCCAGGTAGCCCACAGCAGCCAGTGGCATCCTGCAGAGAGGAGAACGGGGGTTACATGGCCTGGGGTAGGCAGGGATTAAGTGCATGAAGGATCAAGATTGAAGGAAAGCACACTGAGAAGATGGAGGTCAACCCAATGACTGGAGCTATGAAACAGCAGGAGCCAGCAAGAGGCCCGAGGTTCACAAGGGCAAAGACAACATCCTGGTGGGAAAGATCCCCAGCACCAATGTCTGGAGGGTATCCCAGCTAACAGTGGTCCACCAGGCTAGCCCAGAAACAGGTTGGGAGGAGAGCCGAGAAGCAGTCCCTTATCCTTCCTGCAACACACAAGTGACCCAAGATACCCACAGCCATGTGGAAAGGATGGGTGAGAAAAGAACAAGCTCAAGAGATGGAAATGAGTCTGTTAGTAACCAACATTCCACTTAAGGTCTGTCACCCCCCAGGCCACGTGTCCTCACACTCACACGTTACAGAATCCCAGTGACTCCACCGAGTTGGACTCTGCCTCCTCACCCTCACCGGCTGGGGCCTTGGGGGCCGAGCTTTCCATCTTGAACACGCACACCACCTGGGGGGGAGGGAGGCCAACTAGTGCTCGAGGGGAGGGGAAGGGGACCCCCAGGCACACCAAGCTGCCGTTCCTTACTCTACACCCCCTGGACACCAAAGCCCGACCCCAAAACCTCAGCTCTTCGGAGCAAACAAAGGTCGGGAGGCACTTCCTTCTACCAACCCAGCCACAAGTCCGACCAGCGGCTGGGAGAAAGTAGTTTAGCTCGCCCAAG